GGGGGTACTGATGTAAACGCATGCCGTATTCGTGCTAGAAGATTGACCGCGCATCTCTACAATGCCGGGTCGGAGCGATATGCCAGTTTTTCGCCGGCCCAGGCTTACGTTTCACAAGGAATGAAACAGCAGTTGTTTATCATCCTGGGGGGGTGGGGTGGGAAGGATGGATGGGCGTGTAGGAGGAGGGGGGGGCTGCTAAACAATTGACCACGCGTCCTCTAGAGGACGGAGGGGGGGGAGGGCACGAGTTGAGATGGGATGTCAACATTTGTAAGAACAAATGGAGCGCCTGTCATGTGTGTACTACGGCGGGCACTAGACACTACTGGGGATCGGAAGGAGGTCGGACCGAAACGAACATAGGCTTTTTACTTTTCGAAAAAGCGTGAGAATTATTCCCTCCAATTTAGTCGATACCCTTCTTCGGCACCGTGTAGTTGGTAGTTCTTCGAAGCACAGGCCAAACGTTGGTGACGCGCGTTTGTTTTGGCTCAACGTACCCGGTCTGACTGGTAGGCCCAGAACCTGGAATGCATCCTCTATTTTTGTTTATTTTTACCGTGCATGTGCGTGTTCAACGAGCGCCTTGTTTTTTGTGCCTTTTACCCGCTCTCTCTCTCTCGCTATCTCTGTCTTCCATTCTCTCGCGGATGAAGTGGGAGATTTAGCTGTATGCTGGTGTGAGTCGATGTGATTGGGTTCGGTTCGCGCGTAGGTGGATGCCGCGATCGAATAACTCGTGCCCTTCTCTTTTTTCGTTTCGTCAGGTACGCCGACCTTAAGGTGAAGATGGCTGCCATGGAGGCCGAGAAGGACGGCGCTGCGGACCTCGTGGACGAATGGCAGTGAGTCACGTCGCTGTTGCTGTTGCTGTTGCCTCTTTAGCATCAGCAGTCATTCTGACTGTTGTGGCTGTTGCTGTTACTGTTGTCGCTTCAACAGCAACAATCGTTCTGACCATTGTTGTTGTGGTTTTATCTGATAGTTGTCGCTTTTGTTGCGGTTTCGTAAGCCCCGACCCGCCTCCTCCTCAAACCTCTTACATGCATGCAAACGTTCTTGTAGTGTCTCCATCTTGTATTTGGCACCGGTTTCTTGGACGGACAAGGGTGCTGCTGCCGTTCGCCCTGTCCTCGTTTCCTTTTCACCGCTGTGCGCTCTTGCGCTTGCTCCTGGCTTGAACTCAACCGACACCTGTCCGCCCGCTTTTCTGGTGGAAAACGCGTTCACCTGGCGTTGTATTTGGTGCTTGCTGTTGGTTGGTTGCTGCTGCTGCCGCCGCCCCCGCTGCTGTTGGAAGCATTGTTTTTGTGTAAGCTATCGGTCTTAGTTGTGTGCTCGTACGTGGTCGCTGGCAGATCGAACTCAAAGGGCGAGAGAGGGGAGGGAGGGCGCAAGGTTTCCGAGGCCGCGAAGCGCGCCCTAAGGGAGAACACCGAGCTGCACGGACGAGTGGCAGCCATGACAGAGTCCCTCCAGGTATGTACAACCGTTGCCTTGGTCGCGGATGCAAGGGAAAGTGGCGTCGGTGTTGTTGTTGTTGTTGTTGTTGTTGTTGTTGTTGTTGTTGTTGTTGTTGTTGTTGTTGTTGTTGTTGTTG